CAGCCACGGTCCGTGGGTGTGCTCCCGCGGGTCTCGCTGCGCCCGGTCGCTTTCTCTGGTGGTGGCAGATGGCACGAGAAAGCGCGTGAGAGGAGCGAGGCGGCGGAAGGAGCCTCGGAAAACTGGATTTGGGGAACGGGTGGTTCCAGGCTGCACCTGGACCGGGCTGTTTAACGTCGGTTGCTGGACCTCCTGCATTTAAACGCCTCTACAGTTCTGTTTTTTGCCTCCGCAGTATGCTGTGGCACCGAGTTTCAGAATTTTACTACGCTGCTTCTGTTGAGATCGTGAAATTTGACGTAGTTAATATTAATTCCGAGCCTTATATCCAGAAACGAGGATTAGCATGTGCAACAGAGGATTTGTAATCATCTAGCGACTACTCCAACAGAGTAGTCGTAACAGCAAACCAGGGTGTGATGTAGTTGTCTCTTTATTCAGTCGCCCACTCACAGTGTTGTGCGTATGTTGTAAATATATTCGTAAAGGCTAATTGTATGCATTTTTAAAACAAACCACTTTAGCAGCCTTTGATGATGCAGTGGAAGAACGTGTGATCAATGAAGAGTATAAAATATGGAAAAAGAACACCCCCTTCTTGTATGATTTGGTAATGACCCATGCTCTGGAATGGCCCAGCCTGACTGCGCAGTGGCTTCCTGATGTAACAAGGTAAACTGATCCTTTTGCTTTTTTCTTTTAAAGCGGAATAAGTAGTAAATCTAGGATCACTTTTTGTTAAAGTAAGACAGTATGTGACTCCTTTCTGTCTTAAGCACTTTTCATACCCTTGCCTTGCCAACAGCAAGTTGAGGACTATGGGCGCTAGAGAAGATAATCAGTACAGGCATTTTTAATGTGGGAAAATGTCTTCTATTACTGAGAAGATATTTCACACATTTGATTTCCACGTTTTTCTTCTTCCAGCTTCACCCTCCCCTTTAGCAAGCAAAAATCTACTCAAAAATAGAACTAGATATAATTTCCGTATAACCACCATTTTGTCCTAAGCTTCCATAACAACGTTCTGCTTGCTCTGAATGTTCATGCGCCTCAGAGTTGTACTCGGGAGGAGCCGCTAAGGTCTCTTCAAGGAAGGCACGGGGACGGTGGTCTGTCAGAGTGTTGTGCTGAGAGAATTTTAGGTTGAGATCTTGAGTTATGATAAGTGATTTCCTCTGGAGGAAGTGAGTTTGGTGTTGCAGCAGGAGAGCAGCGATAACTTTAAAGAGTGTTATTAGCGTTAGAAGCTGTCATCAAAAAATGTTGCAATCAGATGGGTATTTGTGTAAACCCCTTTTGTTTCTCGTGTAACTCTCTTCCCTTGCAGACCTGAAGGCAAAGATTTCAGTATTCACCGGTTAGTCCTGGGGACCCACACTTCAGATGAACAAAATCATCTTGTGATAGCTAGTGTGCAGTTGCCTAACGATGATGCGCAGTTTGATGCTTCACACTATGATAGTGAGAAAGGAGGTAAGGGACCAAAGATGTGGACCAGGGGGAGTTTTAACCATTTTTCCTTCCCTTCTCAATAAAATATTTGTCTTTCCTTAAAGTTCGGGCAGCAAAGTTCAGGAATTACTTCTAAACTAATCAATTTATTTCTAAGCGATACCCCTACTTAATAGACAAATACTATGGTTTTTTAATGTGTGTAATGTCTTAAGAATATAATGATGAAAAAAGAAGGTGGCAGGCTTACTGCAAAAGTACGTGTGTGGGGGGAAAACCTCACCCCTCCCTGTTTCTCATCAGGAATTGACATTGAATTTCATGGAGTACTGCTTAGTGGTATTTTCATTATCACTTTTGCATTACATAAACTCTTCCAGTGAGAAAGTCACTCATGTAAAAGAATATTTTATTTCGAAGGAGTGTAACGTTTCAAATGTTCTTCTCTTGTCTGAATTCTGCTGCCTGATAGTTGTGCCAGCCCCTCTTGGACAAAAAGATTAATTGTGGTTTGTTTGGTATATCAGACTTGAATTTGATGCTTTCTGTAATCTTAGTTGGCTGTCAGCGTTGCTACAAGTTAGACATTTCTCATTTTTACTTGGTTGAATCTATCTTTCTACCTGGTGAAAGTCCTTAATGATCCAATGTTTGCTCTTCTTTTTGCCGGAAGCCTGGATTGTGCAATTAGGATTTTGATCTTCGGGCTTCTTAGAGTTATTCATGAGCACCATGTTGTCTAATAAATACTTTGTTTCTATTCTATTTTGGTATTTCTCAAAAGTATACTACTCCGATTTAAAAACAAAACAAACAAAAAAAACCCCCTCTTTTTGCCGGAATGGTGCTGTGCAATTTTGTGAAATACTAAGTTATTGTGACTTTACTTATAAAGATAAGGTAGTTTTAGCAAATTATATTACAGTCCCATATCTTAAACGCGGTGCAGCAATTTGTTTCTACCAGAACTGTTTCTATTCTGCAATGCTGATTTTTGTTATATTTGAAAGAGCAGTTACAGCACATCTGTTTCAAATGTGCATCACACCTTCATTACGGATAAGAGTTTTAGATATGATAAATTTGGGGCATGTGTGGTTAAATTTGAAATAGTAAACAATTTTTGGGAAGAAATGGCCTTAACTTAGCCAAAGTCCTGATATTTTGATCTTTCAAATACAGATGTTTAAAACAACATGCCATTTGAAAACTGGATTCTTTCCGTCACAGTTGTTCTTGTGACTGTCTTTCAAAATAAGTGCTTGGTAGTACCAGTAATTGAGTCTGGATCTTCGTGTCTTGATCTGAAACTGGCTTGTTATTTAAAACTACTAAATTCTTATTTCCAGAGTTTGGAGGCTTTGGGTCAGTTAGTGGAAAAATTGAAATTGAAATCAAGATAAATCACGAGGGAGAAGTGAACAGAGCACGTTACATGCCACAGAACCCGTGTATCATCGCTACGAAGACTCCATCCAGTGATGTCCTTGTCTTTGATTACACCAAGCACCCTTCTAAACCAGGTGTCTGTTTCTTTGTTATGTCTATGCCTCAGAGATCAGCCAGCCCTTCCTTAAGAAAAGGTTGATGTAATGACAAAGAGGTTAAAAAGTTCGTGGCTTGCATATCATTTGTGATTTTAGGGGAAAGTAAGTATTCAGTGTAAAAGATTATTTTATATTAAGCTTAAACATATGTATCCAATAGGTATCAATAGAAAGGTATGCTTTTTTTCCTTTTGCTGTTTTACTGCATGTTTTGTCATGTCACTCTATGTGTCGGTATTTGGGGTGGTGGAAGGTGGCTTTTTGGAAGCTATGATTTGCTGAGCTGTTGTCCTGATAACCCTGTAAGGATATTAACAGTCATTTACTGATGAACTCGTCAAGATCGTGTAGAGTAACTAGTTCTGCCACTTGCAGGGGGGGATCAGAAGTGCCTTTCGCACTTTCAAAGTGCAGTTGGAAGTGATGAGAGAAAGAAAAATACTGCAGGTACTATAGCACTAATTTAGAGTGAACCACTGCTAGGCCATCCAGCCAGAAGGAAAAAAAAAAAGCAGCAGCTTGGAAAATCTGCAGTGTGCTTTTATTAAGCTAAGGAGACAAACTGCTCTGTGTTGTCTCAGTGCATTCTGTTTTAATGAGGTGATTCTTCAGTTGGGGAAAATGCTCAAAAGATTAGAGAGGGATCCTGTTGAAAATGTCAAAGCAAAGTTTAGTAAAGCACAGTAAAACTTAATGCCAGGTATTCCAGGATGTGCTGGAAATGATGCTAGGCACTGGAGTTCTTATGCCGCCGCCTCTTTACAGACCCTTCTGGAGAGTGTAACCCTGATCTGCGTCTTCGTGGACACCAGAAGGAAGGTTATGGGCTGTCATGGAACCCAAACCTGAGTGGGCATTTGCTTAGTGCTTCTGACGATCATGTGAGTACTTTAAATATAGCTGGGGTACAATCTGCACTTTGTGTCCCTTGGCAAAGGTCAAAAATGTTTTGGTTTTGAGGGGGAGGAGGTAGGGGAGGTGAAGAGAATGTCTGTCTAAAGATGCGATTTTTAAAAAATTTTATTTTTTTAAAGACCATTTGCTTGTGGGATATTAGTGCTGTTCCAAAAGAAGGCAAAGTGGTGGATGCAAAGACCATCTTCACAGGGCATACAGCAGTCGTGGAAGATGTGTCTTGGCACCTGCTCCATGAATCTCTTTTTGGATCTGTTGCTGATGATCAGAAGCTCATGATGTAAGTGGGGTAATGTCTTCAGAAACTGCGTGCTTCTGTCCCTCTTGCTTTCCCATCTGCTCCTTAGTCCCTCAGTAAAACGGGATATACACCTTTGTTCCAATTCCACGTTTTCCCCTTACAGCTGGGATACTCGGTCAAACAACACCTCCAAACCTAGTCATTCAGTGGATGCTCACACAGCTGAAGTCAACTGCCTCTCTTTCAATCCCTATAGCGAGTTTATCCTCGCTACAGGATCAGCTGATAAGGTACGTCTACCTTGAACTTGGAACGTACTTGTTTAGTTTCTGATGTGTAAATGTGGATGTATATATTTGTTACTTCAACAAAAAATGTTCTTATGGTTTTTTTCCTAGACTGTTGCTTTATGGGACTTGAGGAACCTAAAACTGAAGTTGCACTCCTTTGAATCACATAAAGATGAAATATTTCAGGTATAACAAAATGTCTTCATCTTTTATGCACGTAGACTTAGTTCTAGTTAGCTGTCTGGAAAAAATGAAGAACATTCTTTTCCAGTCCACGTTTTTATTAAATGTACTTGCACTTAAAAACTCACATACTCTTTTCTCTCATCTGCTTATAATCTTCTGGCTTATTGTTGTGGAGCTGTATAGCGCTCTGTGTGGGGTAGAGCTCCAGTACAGATAAGAGTGTCCAGGAAGCTGGGGCAGAACGTAAGAAGGAAACGCTCGAGAGCTTTAGCCACAACAGAAGGGCGAAATGCTAGCAGTGCAGAGTAAATGTAAATTATTCATGGCAGCAGATTGAAGCAGGGAGGCACAATGAAATGGCTGCAGTGTTTTCATCTTCTTAGCTTGGTCCTGCAGGGAGGCTTTAGCCAGTACCCGTTCAAGGGGGTCACCGGAACGTCCTGTGACAACGAACAATTGCGAATTTTGCTGGTGTAAATATAGAACGTTAACCTCACTGGTAGCATGTGCTTAGCAGATGCAGTATTTCCATCTCCAACTCACGCCTTAATCAGAAGAAAAATATGTAGATTTTTCCATAGAAGTGTTACTAGTTAAGACTGTAGTTACTTCTAAATAAAATTACACACGGAATCTTGAAATGTCAGGTTAGTGTGCAGAATTATCTGTTCTTTTCTAATCCTGTGATCCTATTAAGGGGTATGTTTTGAAGAGATTTATCTCCAGCAGAAGATGTGAATGTGAGCTTTTGGGCAGCTAAGCTTAATTACAGTGATTTCTTTTCATGTGTAAACCGTACCTACTACTTAAGGAATTTGTAGTTTATATCTGTGCAATCCTTATTAAGGTAAGGAGCAGCTAATATCCTTGAGAGCTGTTTGCACTTCGTAACGCGTGGTCTTTGTTAGAGGAAGGGTTACATGTGGTACCTTTTTGGTGCTCAGATGCCTTGTTAGCGTATGAATGTTCACAAACCTACCTCCTGTGTTAGAATGTTATTATTGGGCATAGTCATATTTCAACTTAATATCAATTTGAATTCTCACAGAGCTTTTATGATACAAAATACAGTGGTGGTTGTGGTGAATATCTGTCATGTTACAGCTTCTTAAAACTAACTTCCTTTCTAAATTCACCCTTGTCTGTAGGTTCAGTGGTCTCCCCATAATGAAACTATATTGGCCTCCAGTGGTACTGACCGCAGGCTAAATGTCTGGGACTTGAGGTAAATCCCAAATTAGTCACGTTGTCGTGATGAAATATTATTGATGAATTGCATCACACTTCAAAAAACCAACAAACAAACAAACCCCCACCTTTTCACTTTTCCTCCCTTTTTTTATAGTAAAATTGGAGAAGAGCAATCCCCTGAAGATGCCGAGGATGGTCCCCCAGAGCTGTTGGTAAGTCTTTTGAATCTCATTGATTGTTTTGACCTATTATTCATCTCTGTGATATAGATTTGAAAACATTCCCCTTTTTGTTTCCCCATTGCTAGTTTATTCATGGTGGTCATACTGCAAAGATATCTGATTTCTCCTGGAATCCCAATGAACCCTGGGTAATTTGTTCTGTATCAGAAGATAATATCATGCAAGTCTGGCAAATGGTAAGTTGTTTGGGAAGGTGCAGGAAGTGGCGGATGAGAGATGGTGTTGAACTGCCTGGATTTCAGCATTCCTGGCTTTATTTACAGCGCTCAGCATGACTTGCTTTGTTGCACTGCCTAAATCTCAAAGGGATAGTGAAATCCACTCAGGTTTGGTTGGAACAATGGTTTACAAATACTCAGAAGCTGCTTTGTGTTTCTCATGATGTAGAAAAAAAGAAAGTACTGGTGTAGAAGCAAATTTTTCCTTTTTATGTTTGAATGAAAACTGTGTGTGTGAGAACCAAAGATGAAATTGAGGTTTCTGTTAGTTACTGTCTTAAAGAATGAAATCTTTGCAAATGATATAAATGTCCTCCTGAAGATGGAGAGAGGTGGCGGTGAATAGGAAAAGTTTGCTGACCCTAAATTACCAGCTGTTGAAGGTTTTGGAAAACAATCTTGCATCATTTGAATAACCTTTGAGACCATACTCCTAACTGGTTTTTTACCTATAAATCGGTTCACAGGGGCTTTGCTCTTAGCAGCCTTCCATATAGTTCTTTTGGAAGGTGCTGCTGCTAAGTAGAGGATCTACTGAATGTATACACGATAGTCTGTTAATTGAAGTAAGTCTTGCACTTAAAAGAAGGCAGATTTCCATAAGGTACAGTAACTTACAGGGTACTTAGGAAATGTTTTGGAGAGGTGGCTGTTACGAAAAAGGTCGTTTGTGTTGCTTCTCTAACGCTAATGGCCTTGAGGGATCAGGGGTGGGTAATACGTATACGCAGATGAAAAACTGCCACGACTTTTTGAAGTGTTCTAGCAGATGGAATCCTCTTCAGTGTGGTGGTTAAATGCTTCTTCAGTCCCTCCATCTCTGTCTTGCAGGCGGAGAACATATATAATGATGAAGACCCTGAAGGAAGCGTGGATCCAGAAGGTCAAGGATCCTAGATCACAGCCTTTTCCTGTTTCTAGTCTTTTTCCTTCTCATCCTTCTCAACCCCGATATTGATTTAACACTGGTTTTGAGACACACGTAGACTTTGTGTTCAGCCATCCTTCTGTAGATACCATCAACAGGCTTTTTAACCCAGACAGTGAGTACTCCCTAAGAAAAGGGCTCGGCCCGACTCAGCTGGTACCGTGCTGTAGCTCCTTGGTCAGATTTCCTACAGCAACCTCTTGCCTGTAGGGCTGGCTGTCCCGTTTTAGCTGCCTTCATCACACAGAGCAAACTTTGGTTTTGTTGTTTTTTCTTCTTCTGTCTTTAGCTTGCTGCAGCTGCGGGCTTTTGCCTAATTTAAACAAAAGTTAAATCGGTAGAGCTGCCAGAGTATGCTTGGGCCGATGGAAATGATACAAGTGTTAATCCACTGGCAGTTCAGAAATGGAGTGTGGAAGGTCTTGTCCTCTTCAGTACAACTCGAAAGTCTTGGGATTCCTTCAGTTAATCTGTACCTTGTGGATTTTTCTGCCTCTGCAGATACGAAACAGACTCGCAGATTCTGACTTGAACTGAAATTAAATTTCTTTCTATACTTTTTGTCTCTACTGGTAATTCTGGGTTTTTCATTCCTTCCTTCCTTTCCCTTTTCTCCCATCTGCTGGGTGACAGTGGTTTGGATTCGTTAGCTATTCCTGCAGAGCGTTGTTCACCTTCCATGTATTTTGCTCTATTGTGTGTTTCTTGAGCTGTGTTTTCACATATATTTCTTTCCTTTCTGTGAAATGGTTTTTAAAACTTGGGGCCACCAAGTTGTAAGGGTGTATGTTTTTACCAACTGATGTACCACAGATGGCATGCCCGGTAACCTAGAACAGCATTGGTAGCTGGTATCCGTAAAGCAAATTAAATGTGGATGAACTACTTTTTTTAGGAGTTAGTCCTTGACCACTAGTTCCTGCACATCTTCCACTAGGTGCCTGTTCCACCAGCAACCTGTTACTCTCCATGCTCCTCATGACTAATTGTGTGTAAGTGCTTCAGATGGAATAAATTTTTTCTACATAAATGCTGTGTAGCTCTGTGATTTTTGTGTTGGCGTTTCCCTTCTGCATCAACTACTCTGTCGAGAGTAAAGTGTACCTCTTCAGAAAGCAGAGAAAGCGAAGGAATAGTCTCTGCCCGTATGTGTCCTATGAGACCAGGTGCTGGTTTAGATAGTCCTTAGTTTATAACGTGTGGACGCTTCTCCCCCTCCTTGTTTCTGCCGCTTTCTTTGTGAAATGGGCACTTAATCCCCCAAGCAGTCAGGAACGCGCTGAAGCGTGCCTTCCACCTGAAGCGTGCCGCTGTCTGGATTTTGGGTCTGCCTTTAGCCCTTACTGCAGAACTAGGGGTTTTTTTTTTTGTTACTCTGCAGCATGAATAGTCAGATACCTTACAAGTACCTTGGCTTGACACACAAGCTTGTTATTTTCTCTTTGAGACGCAGCTTTGAGAATGAAAAGGATCCTTAAACTCTGACCTTTATTTTCAGTGTGAGACTTTATATAAAGTGGAAACCTATTATCCACAAACTAGTTTCTGTGGCCCGCGGTGGAGCATGTCACAATACAGCAGAGACCCTTGAAATACAAAAGAAAACCCTGTTAAAAGGATGAAGCTTCTCTTGCATGTAAACTTTAAAAATCAAACCCGCTAACACTGGCTTCCAGAACGATACTTTCCGTGGAGGCTTATACGATCCACCTGTGGCACAAGACAAGGTAACATTTTCCAAACACAGCAAAAACATACATCTGTTATTCTTCGCATATGTCCGTCGTTCAGTGCAAGTATTATTTTTTCTGCTCCTCTGTGGAAAAGCAGTTTTAGTACAAGATCAACAGCAGCACCTTGGGAAATACACGTGAGCAAATGATTGCCTGGTATTCCTGGCTTCAGGCAGCTGCTGTGCATCAGGTAGGGTAAGCAGCGAGAGGAGACGTCCCCTGCAGATGCCTCTGCCCTTTACTTCTGCTACGAAGAGGCAAAGTCCGTCGTTCCTAACAGTCCTGCTCTGCTTTTTCTTCCGATTTGCAAAGGTGGCCGTAGATTTCTAAGCAGCTCCTGTATGGGTAGAAAGTAAACTTAGGCTACTGAATATTTATATAAAGTACTCTGGCTGGAGAAAACGGGGAAGGGGCACGTGCTATTTATGAAAAACATTCTTTCTTTTCACAGTATGGAAGAAAAGTGATTAGGAGACACTTAAACTGGCTCAGCGCGTGGTCTTGTGAGCGTGCGGACCTAGCCCAGCCCTTCCAGAGCCCTTGGCAAACAAACGTGCTTTAACAGAAGGGAATGTCACTTTTGGTGTGAGCTGAGGGAGACGGCAGCTCGGAGCCGTACTTAACTCTGAGGTCCCCGGTGCAAATGTGAAACTTAATGAGGAGTCCTGACATACGAGAAGCCTTGCACGCTACCGCTTCCAGGGACGGCAATTTGTAGATTGCCAGGAGTGAAGAGACTGCGCTGCTGCACCCGGGCTTAAATATTGGTCTGTGATTTAGACGTGTGATTTGGAAGGACCGCAAGCAGCAAATCACGGGGTTGTTGGGATCTGGTCTGAATCGTAAATGCAGTTACTCTTACTAACGCATCTTGGAATGGCTGGCGACATGACAGGCTGAATCGGAGATCTCTTTCCCCTGTGCTTACCATGCTAAAGTCTTACCTGGATAAAAGAAAACTATTACCTATTTGTGGTAGGGAATATCCTCCCGTGGTGCGCTTGCGTGAGGAGGTTTGAGCGGAGAAGGTGGAAAAAAGAACACTAAAGTAACAGTGAAGCTACAGAAAATGGTTAAGAGCGTGTACAGCTGAGATTGGAGTAACACACAACACCACAAAGTTTGGTGAGTAAAACAGTCCACAACCTTACGGGCATTTTCTGGAGCTTTAAAGAATCCTGTGTAATAAAGAAGACCTGAGTGAAATCAGCAGTAGAGAGCAATAAGCAGAAGATCGTTCTCTCTCATTGGAGAGCATCCACAACGGTGTTTCCCAAACCTAAACCTCAGCTCCTTTCCACGTATTCCTAAGGAAACCGGCACTGTGTTTTAAGTTGTCATGCCCGCTTCTTGGAAAGCAACCTCCACTCCTTGTGCACAGGAATTCCCACCAAATCCCTATTTGCTGGATGGCAAAAGGCCTGGAGTTCCCGCTCTGCTGCCCCACCGGCCCCCTTGCTCCCACACCGGCCACGTGCCCAGGGACCAGGAGAAAAAGCCCACGGTGTCCAATAGCTGTGTGGCCACCAGCCTCTCTTCTCCACCATCCTCCTCCTCCCAGCCCCTACCCAGCCCCCGCACACCGCAGGGACGAGACACAAACGCACTTGTAGATGGAGAGCTCCTGGTGGAGGCTGGTCCTTAGCTCCTCCAGTTCCTGGTTCTTGCGCTGCTGGAGCTGGACCCCGTTCTTCAGCTCCTTCAGCCTGTCTTCCAGCTCCTCAACTTGTTCCTGGGGAGTAAGAAGACAAGAGTGGATTATCTGGGGGAGGAAGGCTGCCTCGGTGCCCACGCTCAGCTGCTGCCCACGCTCTCATGGGGGGATCTGCCTGTCGATGGTGTTGGTCTGGACAAAGCGCAGCCAGCCTGATGGCTGGCCAACCACCGTCTTAAAAAACCTCTGCAAAAAAGCTTTGTTACAAAGGTGGGAGCTTGGGCTGGGATGTGATGCGTTGCGTCCTTAGGCTTCTCTTGGCCGGTTGGTTTTACCCCCTAGACTACTTCGTGTGTGTTTTGAGAAGCTGTCAGAACTGTATAAACCTATGAGTCAGGAGAAGATAAACAAGGAATTTTGGAAAAAGAAAATGTGGAGGCACATCGGGCACATCTCCAAGGGAGAGCCGACCCTGAAATCCGAGACGAGCTGTGTCGCGGGCGCTGGTGACCTGGTCCCCAGCTCAGCAGGGAGGAGAAGTGATGGAGGGGGGGGGACGCCAGCTTCCAGAAGCAGCTCAGAGCCAGGCTGGGAGGAGGCAGCGATTACGAGCCGAGAACATGGAGTGTTGAAATGGGGGAGATTAATTGTGGAGCCTCTTTGCCAAACATGCTCTTGTAGATATTGAATTGCCTTGTCCCTCAGGACAAGGTGCTGCCGGGGGATGCCTGGCGCAGCCAGAAATAACCCTGTCGGGAGGCAGCCCAGACCCTGGGCTGTGGGCACAGGAGGTACGACCCTTCCTGGCAGTGGGAAGGGCAGGATCTGCCCCGGCAGGGCTGGACTTTTGAAGAAAAGCCACCTTTATTTAAAACTGACTTTTCCAAGCACCTTAGCTCAGCCCCCGTGCTGGTACAAGCTGCGGGAAACGTGCGGTGCCTGTGCTCAGCAGCATTGCTCAGCTCTGCCACCGGCCTGCTCTGGGAAGGAAACCCCCCGTCCCCCCTGCCTCGTCCCTGCTCGCTGGGGCCATTTCCGAGGGGCAGGTCAAAACCAAGTGAGAATATAATCAGGAGAAACCTTTTTTTCCGGCAGCTCATGGGGTGAAGCCCCAGCACTTTCCCACCGCATCCCTGTAACCTCGGGTTTGCCCTACGCCCAGGGGCTGCTGCTTTGCCTGGCCCGTGCCAGGGTGGGGGATGCTTTTGACTTCAGCCAGCAGGAGACACTCCACCTCCTTACCCTCCTCATCCACCCTGCTCCTTCCCTTGGCCCTACGAGCAAGACCTTCGGCATCCACATTTCACCGGCTGCAAAGAACGGCTCCCGCTCTCTAAACAAGAGGGTGCAAGGGGTGCCCAGCTGGGACGCGTACCCGGTACTGCCCGACCTCTTCATCCCGCTTCTGCTTGACGAGGACGATCTGCTCCTCCAGGCTCCGGTTCTGCAGCCACAGCCGGCTCACCTCCCCCTGCAAGGGCCGCAGGGCTTCCTTCATCCCCTGGATCTCCCCCTGCATCTCCTGCAGCGCCTTCGCCCCTGCCTCGCGTCTCTCCAGCACGGAGAGCCGGCGGCTCTCCTGCAGGTACAGGTTATCCTGCCGACACGGCGGCGTCTCCAGCCGTTGCCTCAAAACCTCCTTCTCCTTCTCGCAGGTCTCCTTCAGCTGGGACAGTTCGCCGGAGAGCTGCCCAGCCTGGGTCTCCAGCTCGCCCCGGTAAGCAGCGTGCTGGGAAAGGTCGTGCCGCCGGCTCTCCAGCTGGTACTGGCAAGCCACGCAATCCTTCGTCACCTTGAACAGCTTCTGCTTGATCTGCCGGATCTCATCCTTCAGGTTGTCCCTCTCCAGCTCCACCTTGGCCAGCAGCCGGCAGGCCGCCTGGATCTCCTCGTGGGCATGGCGGATCTCCTGCAGCGCCGGCTCCCGGAGCTGGGTGAGCTCCGCAATCAGGCTGTCTCTCTCTTTCTCCAGCTGCTCGACGGCTTCGATGCACTCTTGGAAGTAGTCCCCCAGCTCTTCGAGGGTGAAGCACCGATGCTCCGCACCATCCGTGTCCAGGGGACTGCCTGCCCCCTCTGCATCCATATCCAGCGGGATCCCTGCCCCATCTGCGTCCGCGTCGGCTGGGGTCCCTCGCCCGTCTGTTGTCCCTTAGAGCGGGATC